TTTTTATTAATTAAATTACAACTAAAAAGATATTTTTAAAAAATTGCACTTATAGCTTTTCAAGTTTTTTTACATGTGACAATTTTTTTTTTAATTTTTTCAATAAAAAATTTCTAAAAATTTTGAAATTTCGGCTAACTTCATTTTCATAAATTTTTTTATTGAAAAATTATTACAAAAAGAAGAAAATAAAAAATTTCACTTGTAAAAAACTTAAAAAACTATCAGTGCAATTTTTTAAAAATATTTTTTAGTTTTTATTTAATAAATAAAAAATTAAAAATGTCGGCTAACTTATTTAGTATTATGTCGTATTAATACGAGCATATTTTATTTTATTTTATTAATCAAAAATAAAATTGTGATTTGCTAAAAAAAATTATTTTCTAAGCTAGTTTCAATTACTGAATTGTCAAGTCTGAGAAAAAACTTACTTTTGGGAAAAAAAGCATGATATAAATCCAACCATATCGGTAATTTACTTTCTAACCAAATTTTTCCCAATATTTCATCATATATCTTCAGTGAAAATAATCCTAAAATCAATGAATCATCTTTATCAGAAAATTCTATGAGTCATAAAATAAATAAAAGTATTACTCATTAAAAATCTAATTACTCCTCCATTTGCAATCAAATTTTCATTATCAAAAAAAAAAAATAACAATAAAAACAAAAGCCTTGGCGGAGCTATAACAATAAACATACAGGAAAATGGAAGCCATGAAAGCGTTCAATACTCCTCTCAAGTTCTTCAATAAAAAAATCTGTACCTAAAAAAAAAAAAGTAGCCAAAGGGTGCGGTTTTGATAGAAGTGAAGGGCAAAGTTCATTCCAGGAGAAAAATTTCTATCGCCAATGAAAATTAATGACATCTGTAAAAATTTATTAATTTTTTTAATTAATTCAGCATATAAATATTATAATAATTATTCAACGTATGTACCAGAAAAACTTGATTATTATCTTTATTCTTTATTTAGTATAGTATAATAAAAATCTAAACATTAGGCGGTCTTGAAGTAGGTACGTGTATGGATAAGTATAAATGTGCATGTCGTTGTAGACGCTTGCGTGTGTCAGTACAACAAAATATGAGTAAAGAAAATGATATGAAATGTGAAAAATTAACAGCGCGTCCGGAATAAAACTGTCCAATGAGATAAGACTAAAAGTTTGGAATTTAGGTGATTGTAGCGATACCATTGGCCGAAATACTGCTCGCGGGTTCACTGAGTAGAGACTTTGCACTAGTGTAGGTACTCGACTAAAGTTCTAGGGGCATAGCACCTAGAGGTAGAATTGTGGGCTGGGGGCATATATTGTGTGTGTGTGTGTGTGGTGAAGTATAAAGTATAAAGAGTAACATAGACGGGAAGGGACGCAAAGGGAGAGTAAGCTGTGTACGACGGACGACAACCGACAACGAGTAACGAGTAGAGACAGTTTGGAAGAGCAGCAACACACAAACCGACCCAAGAGCACCCAAGAGCGTCCACTGCCATCCGAACCAAGTACAAGGAAACAGCTAGCTCCTGCTATTTTATTGTTTTAACGCACCCGTAAATTCAAAAGGTGAGTACTTTAATTATATTTGTTTTTTTAATCACTGTCTAATTATTCTGATTAATAATTTCTAGTTTTATCTAGCGTGTTCGCGGTGGAATATAAGTATTTTTGATAAAATAAAATAACTGTTGTCCGTACGAGTTTTTACCGTTGCCACCATTTTGTAATTGACGTTTGCGAGGGAATCGTTTCTCTCAATGCACTAGTGTAGCATTTGTTGGTGACTTAACTAATGGTGAATTTTATTTCAGGTACACGTGATTTAATTATTTAAAGGAAATAAGTGTACTGAGGTGCTCCAGTTTTTATGGAGATGCACTTTTTAATAATTTATTTGGTGAAATAGTTGTGAGGTGTCAGCAGAGATGAATAGTTATTTGGATTAATTAAACATCGATTCGGACGATGATCTCTTGGGTTGGGGGAAAGGGAGAAGGGAGAGCGTTGTTTTTCTTGAGCAGACACTCGCACCCAAACACCGGAGACAGGAGGATCGTGATTTCGTTCATTGCGCAACGCGGATCTTACCCCCACAATAGAAAATTTCATCCCACTATTATAATGAATCCCTTCTTGAGATTTTTTTCATACTATTAGTACCCTCACTCTTTACGGCGAGTTTATTTATTTACCCCCCCACTTATATTTACACATGCGTGGTTATGTTGGGCAATTCTTCTTTGTCATTCAACTTACTTCTCACTTTTACTTAGATTATTTTGGGCTCTTTCGTTTATTTATGTTTTACTACTACTAATTTAGAGTGTCTTTTTATTATTTTCATTATCAAGCCCTGTAATTACATTTTGTGTTAATGGGAGTTATATTTAATAATATTATTGTGACAGATATTATTTTAATGAAAATTAAGTTAGCTGATATCTAAAAATTTTTAGAATTTTTTTTTAATGAAAAAACTATTACAAAAAAAAAAAAAAAATTCCATTTGTAAAAAATTTGAAAAACTGTAGGTGCAATTTTTTAAAAATATTTTTTTGTTCTAATTTAATGATTGAAAAAAAATCAAAAGACTAAAAACGTTGGCTAACTTTAGTATCATTTATTTTAAAGTTTTAGAAAATTAATTTTGATTTAATTTTAGTAAGTGAGGGAGAAAATTATTAATTGTATGTGTTTTTTACAGTATTAAAGTAAAAGATGGCGCGTACAAAGCAGACAGCCCGTAAATCAACCGGAGGAAAAGCTCCGAGAAAACAATTGGCAACAAAAGCTGCCCGTAAGAGCGCACCGTCCACTGGTGGAGTTAAGAAACCTCATCGTTACCGGTAATTATTATTTTTATTTATTTAATTAATTTTTTATTGATTGATTTAATTTATTTAAATAATTATAATTGATTTGTAAAAATTTAAATTGATTATTAATTTGTTTGATTAAAATTACAGCCCAGGTACCGTCGCTCTTCGTGAAATCAGAAGATACCAGAAGTCTACTGAGTTGTTGATCAGAAAATTGCCCTTCCAACGATTGGTTCGTGAAATCGCTCAGGATTTCAAGACCGACTTGCGTTTCCAGAGTGCAGCCATCGGTGCTCTTCAGGAAGCTTCTGAAGCTTACTTGGTCGGTCTTTTTGAAGACACTAACTTGTGCGCTATCCACGCCAAGCGTGTCACCATTATGCCGAAAGACATCCAATTAGCTCGACGAATCCGTGGTGAACGTGCTTAAATCATCACGTTTTATCTATTAATTAACAAAAGATTATCTGATCATCAAAATTACAGTTTGCCACAATTTGTATTCTTATTATTAATAATTATTGATATTAATATTAATTACTATTATAATTATGATTATTCGTAATAATGAATAATACATCGTATTCATTCCTGTTCTTGATATTGAAAAAAAAAAAATTTTTTTTATAGCATATTAAACATTCACATTCAATATATATCATTCATTACACGTAAGCCACTTTATAAAATATATCAATTATTATTGTAATAAAAATAGTAACCGTTTGCGATTTCTAAAAGTCAACTAATTTGTTTAACATGACATTCAATTGTTATTTCTAATTCTAATGATAAATAATTGCAAAATTATTACTCGCAAACGATGTCTGGATTCGGCGTTAGACATCAATTAGAATGTATTATTACATTTTTATTAAATCATCATTAATCATTAATATAATAATTAAAGATTATCTGCACACCCTAGTAATGTGCATTAGATTATATTACATTTAGTGTAATCCAGTTTCTGTAAGAAACATTGCAAGGTTGTATTTTTTTTTATTTTTCTCTTTTTTGTTTTTTTCTATCGAAATTAATTATTCCTAAGGATAATGTACTGGATTACAGTCAAGTATTCATTGTGTGAAAAATTTCATAAATAAATTTACTAAGACTACTAATTTTTTTTTTTCTTTTTTTTTTCATGAGTTTATTGAATGAACAAAATATTAATTACAATTTTTTTCACGAGTAATATGAGTAATTATAATTTTTATAAATTACATCTTGCATGCATTTTTGATAATTTACGGAAATTTGTCACATTAAACAATAAATAGACTTACAATCTGAATATAAATTAAATTTTAAACTCATTAAAACTACTTTTCATTAATTAATCATTTTTTATCAAGCTCAAATGATTATTCCAATAATTATATTAATATATAAATAAATACTGGTATTGCTAAAAATTATTTATTTTAGACCGATATTATATAAATATATTAAATTTTTGTTTGATTAATCAATATTAATATTCAACATAATAATCATAAACATAAATCATTTTTTGTAACAAAAAATTTATATCTTGCTATCGATTATTATTAATTGATTTTTTTAAATTATAAATATAACAGACATATATTTACATGTTTATTTATTAATTATTATTATTATTATTATTATTATTAATCAATCATAAATCATCATGATTTTTTAAATAAACTTTTACTTGTTTTACATTAAAGGCTAGTCAGATATAAATAAATATAAAACAATAAACTCATATTGAATTATTGATTACAAATACAAGCACGATAATTTTTTATTAAATTATCTAAGCTATTAAAAAAGTTAAGCAATGTTATTATTTTTTTTTTTATTTTATATTTAACACTGGAATAAAACGAGAAGTGAAATAATTATTGAATGATTCGTTGACAAATTATCTTACAGTCAAATGTGATTGTTATTTCTTGATGCGAGGCTTCGCACCTGTCGTCTTATCGTTGTCGTCCTATTGAAAAACAAGTAAATAAAAATATTTTTCATGTTAATTAATAATATAGTGGGAAGTTATATTACATAAAAAAGAAACAAGACGATGTGATAACTAGGTGCATGACTACAATGACATTTATTACAAAAGTACATTGAATAAACACACATATGAATTAATGATACTTGACATTGTTAACATGCTTGTTTTAAGACTCATAATTTTTACGTTGCCTTTAATTGCAATTATTAAAAAAAATATATAAATATAAAAACATATTTTCTTAAACATTTAAAATGTGATACATATGTCATATTAATAAATTAATTTATCATATACTTGTTTTTTTAAATGCATTAATTATTAATCATTAGCACTATTACAGTCAAATTATAAACAAGTGTATTTAATACATAAATAATTAAAGCATTTTATTATTTTGATGGCAATGTAATCTACGTTATTTATTTGATAAATATTGTGTACCAAGAGTCATAATTAATTAATTAATTTTTTAATCATAGTTTTAAACTATAAAATAAGTCTAGTTTTTTTAAAATAAATAAATTTATCGAAATTATCGCAGATTAAAATTTATCGAAAATTTTATCTAAAAAATTATTGAGCATCTAAATTACATAAATAAATATATTCATTGAATAAAAGCAAAATTGCAATTTAAATGCTGGGATATAAAATGTAAATGTTATATAAATAAAATAAAAAAATGCGATCTCGAATGTTTTGAGTTTAAATAAAATAATATAAAAAATTTTTGTACACTCTTTAAATTGAGCAGTCAGTTACATAATAAACTATGTATATAAAAAAAATATTTATAATTTTTACGTGAATTTTGAGTCAATTAAATAAAGCTATTTAACTAAAATTCAATTAAAGAAATATTTAAATTTCTATGGAAGCACACTTAAAAAAATTAAGTACAAATCGATGATACCCTGTACCAAATAGTCCTTGCTAATTAAACAAATTATTTAGGTCCTTGATTAATTAAATTATTAAATCAATTGATTATTTAAAATTCGAACAATATCCAGTATTTTATCGAATTGAGAGTCGTAATTATTAGTTGTTAATTACTAGATAAATTAAATTGATAAAGGTACAGGATAAACCATCAAGTTACGCCGCACATGTACAGTGAAAATGAACAATAGCTGCAGGCCTTTGAATAAAATTATGCTGTTACCTGTACAAATCTCTCATGGCTTGATCCTCTCGTGACGCGTTTCTGCATGAGTTCAATTTATTCTCCATAGCCTGCATCAAACAATAAAACTTTATTAATCAACTAATTATCAATTATCCATACCCATGCATTTTTTTTAAATTATTATTGGTAGTACTACTGATAAATTTATCAGGAATAAATTGTATTAGCTGGCAGGAAATTTTGAGTTTTAAGCGATGAGGAACATTAGACAGGAAAAAAAAAAAAACAAAACAAAACATAACAAACAAAAAAGACCTGGTGTAAAAATAAAGATGTCGTAGTGCAAGACAACGAGAGGAAGAACAATGTCAGCATTTGGTTAGCTTTGGATGCTGGCTAGACACTGGACTCTGTTGACGTGTAATATCGTTCTTTTTCTCAAGTGCATTAGGACATGAGCACTTTAATCTCCTACAATCCATGCAGACCCACCTGTCGAGCTACCAATAATACCGTCTATCACACCAATTCCTATTTCTTCCTCTTATTAAATAACTCTAGTCCATTTTTTTCGTTCGTACTTAGTTTTTTGCGCGTTTGAATTTTAATAAACGTGCATTCAACACAAACGTGCAACTACGGGATAATTTAATAAATATAATTTTGTAAATTAATACATACCCCAACTCGTCTCATTAAGTCGCCAATTAAATTCATCGCTTGTATTCTCGATGATGGAGCCATTGGTATGTTCATACTATTATTATTATTGTTGTTGTTGTTGTTGTTGTTATTAATATTGTTGTTGTTGTTGATAACATTGCCAACACCGTTTGCAACTGGTTGAAAATTTTTAAATAATTAATATTTATATAATTGATTATGAGTTGCAATAAAAATTAATAGTTGAAAATAAAAAAATAAAACAGAAAGTTGAGTTTTAATTTTTATTTAGTAAAAAAATAGAAAAAAAAAGTAGATACAGTTAATTATTAAATTGTTAATTTATATTAATGAATAATGCTTAGTGATGTTAAAAATGAGCATTAATTCACATAGTTTTAAATAGAGTTTTTAGTCAAAGTTATTTCAGTAAATAGTTAATGTGTTTAAAAAAAAAAAAATTAATCGGAAATGTTTTGTTAGTGTCGGCGTGTAAAAAAGCCTTTAGTTTTTCTTAATGCTTTATGCATCTTACGTTTAAACGGTGCTGTTGTCGAATGAGTTGTCGGTATACTCTGCTGCGAGAGTGGAGAGATTACAGGAGTGTTATTAGTCTCGAGTTCAACTTGTAGTTTATTGCTGTCCATTAGAGCACGGACTTTATCTGCTGCTGATTTGTCATTATCCGGAAGGTGTCTTTTGACATGTTTAATCTCTTGTTTAAGATCTGTAATTAAACATACATATTATTGAGATTAATATTTTATTTTTATCATTAAGGTAATACGAGTGCGGGGGGGGGGTAGATATCGACTGTAGCGCGGCAAGGGGAGAGCAGTAGCCATATGATTTTTTTTAATATATCGCGTTCCAGATTCCATAAGGGCGTGTAGCGGCAAAAGGTCGCGGTGAAAAGCCATAAATGCGTATAAAAAATTTTTTTTCGGGAATCGACGTAGTTTCGTCCGAAATGTCTAGAAATGCAAAAAAAAAAAAAATTATACACCCTTATGGCTCCCGGGACCTACCTCGGATGTCATAAGGGCGTATAATAAAAATTCTATTTTTTTTTTCTAAGACCAAAAAAATTTTTAGTTTAGAAAAAAATTTTTTTTTGCATTTCTGCACATGTCATGAAAAAATACGTCGGTTCCCTAAAAAAATTTTTTTATACGTCCTTTTGACATCCGAGGTGGGTTCCGGGAACTATTAGGGCATGTAAAAAATTTTTTTTGGACTTAGAAAAAAAAATAGAATTTCTATTATATGCCCTCGTGGTTTCCGAGTGCCATAAGGGCGTATAATTTTAATTTTCTTTTAATTAATACACTTTAATTAGTCGGGCAAGTGTTAATTTTTTTGAATTAAATTCATCACTAATATATTTACTTTCATCCATAAGTTTTTTAAAAATATTCAGACAGTTTTACGAGAAAAATACAGAAATATATCAATGTTTGGAGGTTACCCCATAAGACCAATGTTAAATTGCTCAACTTCAAAGTTAATTATTTATTTAAATAATCGGGCAATCTCCTTCAAATTTCCGAATTTATTTATGCATATTTAAACTTCATATTAAAAAAAAATCAAGCCTTTTATCAAAAGTTGCCTTGGTCCTCGTACTAACTTATTAAACCAATTAAATATTGAAAATAAAAATACCTCTATTCTCATCCATCAGTCTTTGAACTAAAACTTTGAGATTTTCCTTTTCATCAAGTTCTGATTCCAATAGAGCATTTTTTTCAATTGCTGAATTGAATTTAGCTTCTATGGCTTCTTCAGACGCTTGATTTATTCTGTAAATAATTTATTAAATAAAGTCACTGCACATATAAGTTATTTTTTGCCAGTAATTTATGAATGCAGAATATTTACCGATGAGCTCGTTCTAGATCATCGTTTTTTTGCTCCAACTCTCTGATATATTTAACAAGCTGCTCATGTTGGCTCTCCAATTCAGTGGCTCGTGTTTGGAAAACCGAACAATCTACTGCTTGTTGATCCAATCGTGTTCTCAACTGTTCAACTTCAGTAGCTAATCGTGAATTCCGCTGTCTCAATTCACGATTTGTGTTCTCAGCTTGCTCTAACGCAGTTTCCAACTCTTTCTCCAGCATCTTTGAATTTTCCTCAAATTCTGCTAACTCTTGCTCCACATCTTCTTTCCTACAACCAATCATACATCAGTAACATCATTCTAGGGTAATTTAAAATCTATTTGCAATTATAAAAAATTGTATTTAAAATTTTAACATACCTTTGGAACATTTGTTGAGCCAAATCCATCCAATATTGAATCTCATCATCCTTGGATGTAAATTCTGGCACCTCGATCTCCATCATTGTTATTTTGAGGCAACAAAATCTAGTTATTAATTGAAATTTATTTTTCTTCTATTTTTTAATTTTAATTTTTCGTCCTGACAATAAATGTTTGATATTTAAAATATAATTTTATTTAATCATAATCAACTGCAAATGTACATCCTGCAACAATAAATAGAAAAAAATGATAAATACCTTAAAAACATCAACACAAAATAAATTAAAATTTAAATGTTAATTATTAAATGACCTTCTATTTAATCTAAATAATTTTAAATGATGCGATAAGTATAATAAAATCAGAACATATATATAAATGTTTTTTTTTTCTTTGACAAATCCACCTGCCAAATTATTATTGTAGATAAAAAATTATTGTATATAGTATTATTTATAATTTATTTTACAATTAGAGATATATTACTCAAGGATAAATAGACTTTGGCCTACGCTTCACGATTGCGTTGCCTGCTCATAATATATTACACATTTGTTATGTTGTTATATTAACATACATCTATGCATGAATAAATATACCTCTACCAAAACATTTAATAAAATATCATATGAATCATTCAACACACACTTTACTTGCTGATGATGGTAACGGATTAAAAAATTCCGCGTCACATTGATCACGTGATAATCATTAATTTTTAATTATTTTTCAAAACAATAATTTTTTTAATTCCTACTTAGATTATCATAAACTTATTTTCATTAATTTATACTGATCAACTTACATTTATAAATTTTTTTCCACAAAACCCAATTTACGACCGACTCACTTAAGACTGTATATTTATTAAGACTACAAAATGGCGAGTTATGAATGTGAAAGCTAATTAAATGGAAATAATGAAAACATTGGTGTGCTCGATGTTTTTGAAATCTTCAAATGGCGGGAAATTTTAAATACTTAAACAATTTTTCTTTTTTTGTGTTTCTTCTTGAAATATGGTGATAAAATTTCTGTTAATTTCTCTTTAAAAATAAAATAACTGATAAAAAATTTTAATTAATTTTTGTTTTTTTACTGACACAATGTTTTTTTGTAAATTAAAATAATTATTTGTGCTGCCCTCAGTTGTCAGATTTTAAACCAAAAGTATTGCTTACAAATTATAACCTCAATTTAAAAATAATTTAAGAACACCAAATTGTATATGTAAATATACAGCGCACATGGTTTTATTTATTACATAAAATAATTTTTTTTATTTTGTAATATAACAAAATGTTAGCTACAAAAACATTTTTTCGTAAGACTAAAAGTGGAAATATTTTTAAGGTAACAAGTTTTAATAAATAATATTAATATTAAATTATTAGCAGCACTTGAAAAATAATTAAAAATTTTTTTAGATTGTAAGAGATCATTACCTGCGAGATGATATTTGGTGTGGATCTGAAGCCTGTGAGTCGTGTAAGCCACGTAAAAAAGATCTTGTACTAGAAGAAAAAAATCCAGGAACTAAGAGCTCACTTATTTCCGACCCGTATTATTTATTACTGGACACCAATATAGTTCTTGATCAAGTAAGTAAATTTTTTTTTAACAGCTGAGCGCTTTTATTAAATTAGCAATTAATATTTATTTTATTATAGATAAATATCTTGGAAGAGGATTTGCTGTGCAACGTAATAATCCTCCAGACGGTTTTGGAAGAAGTAAAGCACCGTAGTTCCAATGTTTACAAAAAATTGAAAGACATAATAGCTGATCCAAAACGTAAATTTTACGTCTTTGTCAACGAACACCACAAAGACACCTTCGTCGAACGGGTACCTGGTGAAAAAATAAATGACCGCAATGACAGAGCCATCAGAACCGCCTGTCTGTGGTACAAAAGTCATTTGGAGCAATCGAAAAATAACAACATCAATATTGTCTTGCTTACTGATGATAATGAAAATCGGAGCAAAGCGCAGGTTGAAGGCTGCCTTGCATTTACAAGTAATTTTAATTACTAATTTAAAAAAAAATAATTAATGAATATTTTCTTAATTTATTTTATTTGCTTACAGTGGAAGAATATGTTTGTTCGCTAGAAAATTCTGGATTCTTAGAAGATAAATTATGTAAAAAAAATTATGAAATTGACGGAGGGAAAGGTGAACCGTTATTTCCCTCTCATTTGACTCCAGCGCAATTGCACGATGGAATTAAAAATGGAAAATTGCTTCAGGGAACATTTTTAGCGTCACGGGAAAATTTTTTGGAAGGAAGTGTTAACGTTGAAGGAATGGAAAAATTCGTATGTTTTATTTTATTTCTTCATTAATTTTAATAAAAAATTTTGGATTGTTTATCGATTGATTTCGCGTGCCTAAAGGTAAAAGAGCGCATATTTTTTTTGTATTGCCAATTAAGTAGTAGACACATTCTACGCTTAAAATTGAAAAAAAAAAAAAAATTGCAAAGGTAAAAGGGTGTATGTCTTTAATTTTACGTCCTTTTACTTTCAAGAATTCGAAATTTTGGGGATCTAAAGGTCAAAGCGCGCATAATTTTTTTTGGCCTGTTTACAAAAGAACATAATAAGGTAAAAGACCCCATTAGTGGCACCTTTAACCCCTACTAGTGGTACTTTTTCTTTCAATGAAAAAATGTTCTACATGGAATAAAAATAAAAAATTTCTTTGCTCTAGTACCAAAATCAAAAAAAGTGTCAGTAATTGGGTCCCCGCAACTAATGGGTTCTTTTACCCTATTCGTAGTTTAAAAATGTAAAAAAAAAAAACTTTCTGTGGTAGTAGCGACGTAAAACCTCAACTATGCAATTTTTTAAAGTTAAAAAAGAAAATACATCCAAAAAATAATAAAGTACGCGTGATTTAATTAATTACGTAATTTTTACTTCAAATTAATTACTTAATTTTTAGGTAATTTGTTTTTGATTGATTTATTTTCTATTTTTTTATATCAAACTTTGTAAATGAGGCTATTATCTTAGTATAACTTGTCTTGTGAAACTATTATTTAACATTTGGTATCAAAACTACAATTTTTTTTATACGAATGGCAAAAAAAATTTTTTTTATACGCCCTTTTACCTCTAGGCACGCAATTTATTAACTAATTATTTTAAACAGATATTCGTACAAGGAAGAATTGGATTGAATAGAGCTATTGATGGTGATATTGTAGCTGTTGAATTATTACCAGAAGAAGAATGGTCAGTACCGAGTGAATTAGTCCTGCAAGACGAAGCTGATGAAGAAGATCCAGGTGACATTTTGGAGGAAGAAAAGGAAATAATTGTTAAGACGACGACAGAAGTTGAACGAACGCCAACAGGTAAAATAGTTGGCATCATAAGAAGAAAATGGCGACAATATTGTGGCATATTGCAGCCAAGTGCTGTCAAAGGGGTAAGAGAATAATAATAATTATTATTAGTACTAGTATTAAATTTGTTGTTATTGATTTAAGTTGTAAACAATTGGGTATGGATTTTTTTAATAGATTAAAATTTTATTTGATTCAGAATGTAAAGCATCTTTTCGTCCCAGCTGAAAGGAAGATTCCTAAAGTGAGAATTGAAACACGACAATCAGAGACTTTGAGTAGCCAAAGAATAATTGTTGCTATTGATTCTTGGCCAAGAAATTCTCGTTATCCATCGGGACATTTTGTTCGCGCGCTAGGAAAAGTCGGTGATAAGGAAACTGAGAACGAAGTGCTTTTATTGGAACACGATGTAACACACAGTAGATTTTCCGACGCTGTTCTTAGTTTTCTTCCAAAATTACCTTGGATTATCACCGAGGAAGTAAGTATTTTTTATTTTACAATTCAATTTTCAATTCATCAGAGCCTCCAGTTGGTTAATATTTTCAGTGACCTCAATTTCTACACGCGAAATAATTCGTATCTATTTTAGAATTAGCATTGATCAATTTGTTTATTTAAATAAATTACCTGCGTAAATTTTCTATACGCTGACGTTGCCGTGTTGACACTTGCGAATGTGTATAAAAGGTACTACCGGTAGCGGTGGTGGGGACGGTGTTGTGCTTTCTGTTGAATCAATTTCTAAAATCGGCAGCGCTATACTACACTCGAATCTTTTTTATTATTGTTGTTTTTATTTAATAAAATTTTTTTTGTATTCTTTACTTTTCTCATTACCAAAGTATTTAAATTTTCCAAAGCCAATTGTTTGCTCTGCAAATAATTAACCGATTAAAAATTTGTCAGTCAAAATTTAATTTATCAAACCTTTATATCCGATAAAAATCCCTCTAGAGTTTCTAATTTTCGTGTTGATTTAATTGACTCCCACCGTGAAAACATGGCAGGGTCAAAAACAGATACAATAGTCTCCATTTCACGTATTTCTATATAAAGTTATCAATTTTTACTCTCGATTTTACATAATAATAATAATAATAAAAAACTTTACCAGTGTCTTTTAATTTCTTTAAAGTCTCTTTAACGCATTTTTTTTCCTTATCAATGCATTTTTTTTGTAATTTTTGTTTCTGTACATTAATTTGCACGCGTTTTAATTCTTTTAGCATGCCTTCAAGCTCTTGAGCACTATTTAAAAATTTTTTCTCCAGAAATCTGTTACAAAAATAATTTTTTATAATTTCATAACTAATTTATAAATAAATACTTACACGGGATAGTCATTAATAAAATTTAGATAGTTAGTATCTTTGAAAAGAAAATTTAGAAGCTCTTCCAACTTTTCACAAATTACACCAATATTTTTTGAAGATATTTTCAGCTTAACGTCACTCTGAGATTCTTTACTCAAATTTCCTTCATCGAATGAACCGCTCTATTTAATTAAACAAAATTATATTAATTTTTACAAACAAATTCATTATTTATAGTTTACTTTTATCAAGATTAATATTTACAACACTTTGTTTAACTTTTTTAAATTTCGCCATTATTTGATCAATTGTCTTCTCAGACGAACGCTTTATTATTAAATTAAAATTTCTTTTCATTTTTTTTTTATTACTTTAATAAATAATTATAGTTAACCACAAATAATTTTCAAACTAAAACGAGCATACTTAAAAAAATTAATGGCAAAAATTTTAATAAAATGAAACAAAAGAAGTGAAACGATTTTATTTTATTTTAATTGTTAATAGGACATTGCATCGAGAGAAGATTTACGTCATCTGGATATTTGTTCAGTAGATCCACCAGGATGTACTGACATTGATGACGCACTTCATTGCCGAGATTTAGAGAATGGAAACTTGGAAGTGGGCGTTCATATTGCAGATGTTACGCATTTTATACGACCTGGAACTGCTTTGGACCAAGAGGCTGCTTTGAGAGCAACTACTGTTTATCTTGTTGATAAACGAATTGACATGGTGCCAGGTAATTTTTATTTTATTAAATTTAAATCTTTTCAATTTTAATAATACCAAGTTCTTAATTAATAAAATATTTAATAATTTTATTTTCAGGCTTACTGAGTTCTAATCTCTGTTCGCTTCGTGGCAATGAAGAAAGATTTGCCTTCTCATGTATTTGGGAAATCGATCACGATGCTAATATTATTAATACGAGATTTTGTAAATCAGTAATACGATCACGACGAGCAATGACTTATGAAGAAGCTCAATTATTAATCGATGATAAATCGCAAAATGATTCATTAACGGTATCACTGAGAGGATTGAATAATTTAGCCAAGAAATTGAAGAAACGTCGACTTGAAAATGGGTACTTTTTTATTTATTTCCATATTAGTAGTAATCGATATTATTAAGAGAATAAGCAAAATTTTCTGGCCAGTGTATTTATATGATAAAATGAGTTTTTATGGTTGAATTTGATATCGTTAGAAAAATCTTAACCTGGAGTTGTGCCTTCTCATGGTTTCATATCATTCTCACCAATAGTCAATTAATGATAATAACAAATAAGTATTTAGGCTGCATTTGAAAATACTCTATCTCTAGATACATAATTAAGAAATGACCTTGTATCTTGTGAACTATTGACATTTTTAAAGATATAAGCTCATCCCGATGTTACACTCATCGAGATCTTTCGTTTGAGTACCCACATCAATTTTTCATATATTTTATATATTATATATATATGTATATATGAAAAATATATCAAAATGCATGTGGGTACTCAAATGAAAGCTCTTGATGAGTGTAACATCAGGATGAGCTTATATCTTTAAAAATGTCAATAATTAAGAAATGACTTAGTATCTTGTGAAATATTGACATTTTGGATGATATAAGCTCATCCCGATGTTACGCTTAACGAGACCTTTCATTTGATTACCCACATCAATTTTTCATATATTTATATATATAATAATATGTATATATGACAAATATATCAAAATGCATGTTGGTACTCAAATGAAAGCTCTTGATGAGTGTAACATCAAGATGAGCTTATATCTTTAAAAACGTCAATAATTAAAAAAGTACAGTGCAATTTAACAAAAGTCATTATTTAATAAAGCAAAATTTTATTTATTTATATTTCACAAGCCACGGCAATCACATAGTGATTGCAAGGTTGCTAGTTATAATTACTTCTTATTAATATTTACTTTTTCAAAAAAATCAACAGAGCACTAGTATTGGCGTCTCCAGAAATACGGTTTCAAGTGGACAGTGAAACTCATGATCCAATCGAAGTAGAAGCTAAAAAATTACGTGACACAAATTCTATGGTCGAGGAGTTTATGTTGTTGGCCAATATATCAGTAGCAGAAAAAATTTTAGCCGAATTTCCAGATTGTGCCATGCTAAGAAGACATCCAGAGCCACCACAATCTAATTTCGAGCCGCTCATCAAAGCTGGCAGACATCAAGGCTTTGAGATCAATACTTCCAGCGGAAAAGAATTAGCGCAATCACTCGAATCTGCCCATAAAGACGACAACCCATACTTTAATACGATGTTAAAAATTTTAGCTACTCGCTGTATGATACAGGCTGTCTATTTTATAAGTGGTATGGTTCAGCAATCGGAATTTTTCCATTATGGTTTAGCTTGTCCAATTTATACTCATTTTACCTCGCCAATTAGAAGGTAATTATCAATGTCTCTTGTTTTTGCAGTATTTATTCTGAGAATGATTTAAATTACGTATAATATTTACAGATACGCTGATATAGTGGTCCATCGATTACTTGCTGTTTGTATTGGAGCTGATGCAACTTATCCAGACTTACTGGATAAAAAGAAAAATCATGCACTTTGTCATAATTTAAATTATCGTAATCGTATGGCTCAGTACGCTGGACGTGCTTCAGTTGCTTTGAATACCCATGTAATTTTTTTTTTTATCAATTTAATATCTAGTTAAGTCAAATGCAATTTTGGTCTACTAATAATATTTATGATTTTATTTTAGTTGTTCTTCCGTGAAAAAATTGAAGATGAAGACGGCTACATACTTTTTGTTCGTAAGAATGCGTTGCAGGTCCTAATTCCTAAGTACGGACTCGAAGGAACTTTGTACTTGAACAAAAAAGGTGACACGTCTGGAGTTAAATTTACTTATAATGAAGAAGAGCATACTCAGACGTGTGGTGATGTTGTCTTCAGGTCATTTGATCCTGTTATTGTACAACTGAGTTTGGATAGATCTAATGTCCAACACGAAAAATTAGTATTCAAACTTGTTAAGCCAGAGGTAAATTGTTATTTTTTTTTAATTTAATACAAACTTTAATAATTTAATAATTTAATTTTTTTTAAGTTAATTACACCGAAGTTAGCAAACATCTAAAAATATTTGATTTTTTGAATTAATTAAATTACAACTAGAAAGATAATTATAAAAAATTGCACTTATAGTTTTTTAAGTTTTTTACAAGTGAAAAATTTTTTTTTAATTGTTTAATTGAAAGTTTTTAATTGTAAAATTTCTAAACATTTTGAAATGTCGGCTAACTTTATTTTCATAAACTTAAGTGTAAATAATTTTATAATAAAAAATTATTTTTAGATTTCTGGATTCAGTGTTCCTGGAGTTAAAAAACGTAAAGTATCAGATCCAGAGCCAATACCGATTGAAGTTCCAGCGAAAAAAAATAAAAAACAGAAGAAAAAGAAGAAGAATAAGAAGTAATTAAAATTTATTGACAATATTATGGCATAATATTATTATAATTGAATGAAATTGTTATTTTTACCGTATGAATCAAGTTTGTAAGTGATTTTCAAGTGTAAATGTCAATTTTATATTTTACAATTATAAGTGAGACATGTTATTTTCATTATTACTTTGGTATTCATGTTTATAAATAATTGCAAAAATAAAATAATGATTTTTCAAAATTGAACCCATGTTAAATTTCAATTTGTCACCTACACTTCCTTCTTTATGTTTCAAGAACGGTTCTACGTCCGTCAAGTTCTACTACGTTAGTCAAATGAAAAGTGAGAAGAAAGATAGTTTGTGACACTCCAAAGCAGTCAGACAGAAATAATAAAAAAATAAAACAAAAATATCTTTCTTATTATTCACTTTTTAAATATTTATGCAAAGAAATTATTGTTTACTTTATTATCAAATTGTCCAGCAATAGCGCTGTAAGCAATAATGGATGTGAAATACCATAATAGCTAATTGTGATCATTGTAGGTTATTATCTTTATTATCAAAATCACATTATTGTGAAAAATATTTTTAAATAGTATAACTATTTTAATTTGTTGGAGTGAGGAGCGCAAATACTAATTAAAAAAATAAATAAATTGAGTTTTTGAATGTATATTTTTAAAATACAAGGTAATTAAAAAAAAAATATCATTTGATAAGAATAAAGTTAGTCATGTCATTAAAGTTAGCCGACGTTCTAAATTTTTTGATTTTTTTTTTTTAATAATCAAATTAGGACAAAAAATATTTTTTTTTAATTACATATTTACAGTTTTTCAAATTTTTTTATAAATTCTAATGTTTTTGTAACAATTTTTTCAATAAAAAAAATACTAAAGAATTTTTTAGATGTCGGCTAACTTTATTTTCATAGTCATTTGACTACTTTTTAATTTTTTTTAACAAACAAATTTTTAAAAAATTTGATTCTTAATTTCATAAAAATTTCTACATTCAATTTTTTTTTGCCATAATTTATATATTTTTTTTTAATTACATATTTACAGTTTTTCAAATTTTTTTATAAATTCTAATGTTTTTGTAACAATTTTTTCAATAAAAAAAATACTAAAGAATTTTTTAGATGTCGGCTAACTTTATTTTCATAGTCATTTGACTACTTTTTAATTTTTTTTTAACAAACAAATTTTTAAAAAATTTGATTCTTAATTTCATAAAATTTCTACATGTCAATTTTTTTTTGCCATAATTTATTTGTTAAAAATAAATTCTTAAAATTATCAAATATCTACCTAATAAATTAATTTTCATGAAATTTTATTAATTTTAATTAAAATAAATAATTTTCAGATCATCAACAATTATTTAAAAATGAGGAGAAGTTATTCATCCATGCAGGAAAGTAAAATTATTTTCGAATGGAAAATAGATCAGTTTAATTCATTTATAGATTCATCACTTACCAGTTCAGATGATGTTAAAATAGAGTCAATGGAATTTTCAACTGGATCTGATATTAAAGATGTTTGGTACTTACGTTTAAAATTAAAAAACAATGAAGATACAAAAGTTAAAGAGTGGATCTCAGTATTTTTGTATTTAAAAAGTAGTAATAAGCCAGCAGTTAGAGCAGATTACTCAATTTACGTTTTGAATAATAAAAACGAGAGAAAAGTGAGTATAAAAAAGTCAACTCGGATATTTAAGGTCCATGAAAGTTGGGGTTCTAATAAATTTCTGGAAATAAATAAATTATTGGAAGATAAAAATGACATTCTATCCGAGAATATTTTAACTCTGAGCGTTGACCTTGTCGTATATGGAGATTATTTAACAACTACATCAGAAATTCCATACAAAACTATGAAAACTAAAATCTCCGATGACTTCAATGAGCTTCTCAAAACTGAAATGGGTAGTGATGTCACTTTCACAGTGAAAGACATTAAATTTAGAGCTCATAAATCCATTTTAATCGCTCGAAGCCCGACAATTGCCTCGATGCTATCACATGAAACTCCTGAGAGCAAACAATATGTGTTAAATATCGATGATGTAGAGCCTAAAGTGTTCAAAGACGTGCTGAGATTTATTTACACTGATGTAGTTGATAATTTAGATGATAAAGCTGCGTGTTTATTAGACGTTGCGAATAAGTATCAATTAAAAACATTGAAAATATTGTGTGAAGAATCCCTTTGCAAGACAATAACTATTGAAAACGCAGTTACCATGATGGTTTTAGCAAATGATCACAGTGCGAAGCTGTTGATGGATTATGTTGTTGATTTCATGGTAATAAACATGGAAAAAGTTATGGACACTGAAGATTATAAAAAACTAGAAAGCTCTAAGCCGGTTTTGTTATCAGTTTTGCTAAAAAAATTTATTGATTTGATCAAAGCAGTTCCTAAAACTATCGACTAATTTTTTAATTCATAAGTATTGTATTTTTTTACTCTTACAAATTTTTTTTTCTGTAAAATATTACGGGAAAATAACAGCACTTTTTTTTATACAAGTAATTGATTAGATAAAGTCTACGACAAAGTCGTAAGTCATAAATATTGTTAAAGTTCAAATTATAAAGATATATTTTTAAATATTGCAATATAATTTTTTTGATTGAAAAATTATTCATTACTGCTTTTACTGAAAGTGAAAAATGTCAATAGAATATTATTTTTGAAAGTAAAAAATAAATAGGAGTAAATATTATAATTTGTCTAACTTTATTTTTATTTAATCGATTTGTTGATTTATTATTATAAATAATACAATTTAATTTTATGTGAAAAAACATTTTGTTCATTTAAACCTGATGGATAAAATTTTATTCTATCAAATTTTCCATTTATAATTTAGATAACATTTTAAGATCATAATTATTTAAATAATTATTAATTTCAAGAATTACATCAAACGGCAATTTACCGTATAACAATTTAGCTAACTTTTCCGTGCTTATAATTAAAATTTCTTTTCTTTGACAAGCTTTAATCAGTTTGTAATAAATCATACTTCCATACAAAGGAAACTGTGATACTATTGAGCGTTTATCGTACTTTTTACCACTAAATTGATTCAACCGTACGGCAATATCGTGTTGACTCAATTTTAAAATATCATAATAACTAAGTTTGGTACTATCGATCTCTACATTTTTAGTCAATTCGATTTCTTTTAAACATTCAATGTATGAATCATTGAGATAATTATCATTATTAAGGTTATTATTAACGACATTTAAATTATAATCATTGAATGTGTGACCACTAGCTTTTAGTTTAATCATATGTTTTTTAACTGATGAAGAAATAGCTTTTTTATTTTGTATAACACCTATATCAATTCCAGAATCTAATAAAAGATCAGATAATATTGTGGTCGGTCCATATTTTACTGCCAAGTCGAGAGCAGTCTCACCATTTGCCAATGCGTTAATATTAACAAAGTCTTCTTTTAGTATTATGAATTCAGCTTTTTTGAAAATGCGACATTTAATAGCCAAGTGAAGAAATGTTTCTCCATTGCTAGGATCTTTATAATTAGTCTCAAAAATTTCATTATTAATAAAGAACTTTAGCATTTCAAAACTTCCAGCGTATCCAACATGAGAAATAAACCATCGGTTGATTTCAGCAACTTTAAAATTAATGTTAGCATGATACTTTAACAATAATTTCACTAGATCAATATTATTGCTTCTAACTGCTGACTCGATGGGAGTACATTGATCATAACATGGAGCATTTATGTTTAAACCTTTATATTTTAATAGTAATTCAATTAATTTTAAATTGGAAGTTTCAATTGCTGATCCAAGAACTGTCGGGTAGTTAAAGGCAAAATTAATATCAGGATTAAATTTTAGAAGCAAATTAATGATATTTATGTCTTGGTTTCTTACGGCGACGTGTAAAGGTGTGTATCGAAATGGTGGACACTGATCAATATTCTTAATTCCATGAGTAATTAAGTACTCAGTTATTTCATAATTTCTTTCTATTACTGCCCAATACAATGGAACATCATTTGCGTTTACATCAGCTCCCAAATCGACTAACAATTTAACTATATCAAAACTATTTCGTTTAATTGCTAACCGTAACGGCGAATACAATTTGTTATTTGTAGCATTTACTTCAGCGCCAGCATTGATTAACATTTTAATTACTTCTAAATGTAAATTTTCAACGGCCAGCATAATAATTGATTGGCTAATGTGAGACCAATTAACCAAGGCGATGTTTTTAAGTAAAAGCTCAATCATTTTTTTATCTCCAGCTTTTACTGCTAGATGCAAAGGTGAATCATTTTCACTATTTATATTAACGTCCGCTTGACATTTAATTAGATACTCAACAATTTCGTAATTCCCTTTACAGACAGCGGAATACAACGGGGATCTTTCGTCCGAAATTTCATTAACATTTGCTCCCGCTTCAACAAGGATTTTAACTAATTCATAATTAGCCTGCTCACAAGCGATACCAAGTGCAGTTCTGATACATCTTTCATCATTAACTTTTGCTTTGCTTCTAATCAGCAGTTTTGTAATTTTTAGATTTTGTCTTTTGACTGCAATCTGTAATGGAGAATATCTATAAATTTCTTTATGTTCTTTATGTTCATTTAACGCGTTAACATCCAAGCCACGTTGAATTAAATCTTGCGTTATATTATAATTCTTTATATTAACAGATCTATGTAGTAACGTCATAGGCAGAGGCTTTTTAACATTCGCCCCTGATTTTATTAGAAAATTATAGAGTTTATAATTATCATGGTCAATCGCTACTGCAAGGGGAGTCCCCATAGCTTTAGTACTCTTGTTAATATCTGCTTTTTTCTCCAATAATAGTTTCACTACTGCCAGGTTATCTAGTGCAACAGCTAACTGCAGAGGTGTACAATGTAAATACTTTGACACTGGGTAGTTACAGATAGCATTAATATCAACTCCAAACTCGATCAAAAAATGTATCGCAAAATCATTGTTGGCAGCAATAGCTTGGTGCAAAGGTAACACTACTTTAATTGAATTACTAATAAATTTAGATTTAGGATCCCAAAGTAGATTAAAGAGTTCTAAATTATTCTTCTTAATGGCAATAGTAAGAGCAGTCTGACCGTCTCGTCCAATAATATTAACATTTGCTCCCTTTTCAATAATAAATTTAGCTACTTCAACATTTTCCCGCTCAATGGCAATATGTAATGGGGTATATCGATGAAATTGCGACCAACGGGAATAACATGAAGAATCAATACTAAGATCTTGATTAATTAAGTATTGAGCTATTTCAACTGAATTATGGTAAGCAGCCCAATGAAAACGGGAAACATCTTTGTAGGATTTTTCGATATTAGCACCAGCATCTTTAAGCAATTTGAACAGTTGGATATTACCTTTCTCGATCGCCATATCTATCGGTTTTTTTCTCCAGTATATTGTCTCGGCATTGATATTCGCTCCTTTATTAATCAGCAGCTTAACCATCTCAAAGCTCTCTGCTATTATAGCAATGCATAATGGGGTATACTGATAAAATTGTGAATATCTATTTGTTATGTAAGAGTCAACATAAGCTCCTTGATTTATCAAATACTCAGCGATTTTATGAGCGTTATTTTTTGCAGCATAATGCAAAAGATCGTTTTGATGGATGATCATTTTTATACTTGCACCAGAGTCAACTAGAAATTTAAATATTTCATAGTTCCCGAATTTTATGGACGTAAGGAGAGGTGTGTCGTGTCCTTTTTTTCTTGCATTGATTTTAGATTTATTTTTTTTAGTTTTAAGAAGTATTTTTATTATTTCTATATCGCCTAGTTCAACGGCAAGGTGTAAAGCAGTTTTATTTTTATGAAATATACCAATCTCAGCTTTATGGTCGATTAAATTTTTGATTATATTTAAATTTCTAGATTTGATAGCTAAATGAAGATATGGTAATGATAATGATGAGTCTTCTGGAATGACGTTGAGGTTGATTTTTTGTTTAAGAAATTTGTCAACCAATTTGATGTCCTGGTTCTGAATGGCACTATTGAGATTCGATGATTCTGATACTGATGGTGATGTTTCTAATGATGATAATGACGATGTTTCTGATACATCATCAACTTCCATTTTGTCATCATTTTTTTGAATTTCGGCTCGGTGATGTGAATATCTTGGCTTTTTACGAGGCACTTCATCTTCTTCTGTCGTTTCGAATGATGATAATTTTGTTTTAGTCGGTCTTCTAGTTTTCATTTCTAAAATAAAAATTCCAGGTTACTTTTATTGTGATAAATATATAAAAACTAAATGAAATTTTTTATTTTACTTACTGATAACGATGTGATTAATTTATCAATTTTCCTTATATTAGTTGAATAATTTTGTGATAAAGTAATTCTGTAAATTTGAAAAACTATATTTAAAAGTGGTTGAAATTCAGATAATTTTTTAAGCGAATAAAAAAAATAAATATATTTAATAGCTGAACATCAAATGTATGTTTTTTTTTGTTTATTTAAAATTTTATTTAAAAGTATGTAACTTAAAAATTTTTTTGAAGAGGTCATCGCTATTTTCAGTGTCAACAATTTTTTGAACTATTATTATTATTATTATTATTATTAATAATAATATTACAATATTATTATTATTATCTGCTTGTTTCAAATAAAAAAAAATCAATAAAAAATATTATGAAAATAAAATTAGCAGACAGATGATAATTTTTAGAATTTTTTTTTATTAATAAAATAATTACAAAAAAATTAAAAGAAAAAATTGCACATGTAAAAAATTTGAAAAACTATCCATGCTATTTTTTTTTTTTTTAATTTTTTTATTGCTAATTTATTTAATAAAAAAAAATAAAAATTTTTCGCTGTCGACTAATTTAAGTTTCATAATAATATTCAATTCTAAAAATAAAAAAAAAAATTTAACAACCCAGTTAATAATATTAATGATGATAATGCTAATAATAATAATAATAATAATAATAATAATAATGTTATAGAATATGATTATAAAATAATTAATTGTTAAGAATAGTTCGAATAATTATTATTTGTACTTATCATTTGCTTTAAATATTATTTACAATAATAACAACTAGTGTAATTTAATAACGTGATTAAATTGACGTTTAAGAATATTGACTTGATAATGAAGAAAGTATACTCGCAGTCAGTGAACAAAATAGTTGTTTATCAATTGATGAGCTAATTTCATTGAAGACCACTTTAGTTCGAATAATTTATTGGATTTCAGCTGTAGCTTTTAAAAAAAAACGCGCGCATTTTCAAAGAGGAGTGGTAAAACGACACTACCGCCACCTTGTTCTCAAACGAGCGAATTTGGCTCTACATAAGGTGGTAATTAGACAATTCATAACATTCATAACATTACTGTTCAAGTGCTCAATGCTTACTGTGTACATTTTATAAATCATTAGTTATTAATATGGAATCTAAAAAATTAAGTCAGAAGGAATATTTAAAAAAATATCTCAGTGGTGGTGATAAAAAGAAGAAAATAAAAAAAAAGAAGATTAAAAATCCAACGTAAGTTTTTGGTTTATTTTTTAATAACAGATATTTTTATTATCTTGACTAAGGTTATGTTTATTTCTTTCAACGTTTTGAAAACGTCCACATTCAATGTTATTGCTAAATATTCATATTAATTAATCAGAATTTTAAATTTTTTATGTAAAATTATTAATAAAAATTTTAATTATATTTTTTTTTATTCTGTAGAGTTCAAATCATTGATGATGACATCAACCTCGACAATATACGTCCAATGGACGATGCTGAGTTCGACATCATAAATGCAACAGAAGATGCGCCAATTATTGTAGGAGTTATTGATGAACGTGGACCGGTTGATTTTGCTGATAGAAAAAAGTGGAAAATTATAGCTGATGACGGCGAGGGAAATGTGACAGTAAATTCAACGCAAAATAATATTGATAATAATAATTTTAACCAATTATCAGCTTATAGTGAATCAGAGTTCAATTCTAAAAATGAAAGACGGCTTAAATTTAAAAGACATTCTTCTGATTTAAGTCCACCTAGAATATCAGAAAAACGTAAAAATTCCAGCAAATCATCGCAACGAGTGAGCTCAGATTCCGATTTAAGCCCGCCGAGAGCATCAAAAAAATCCAGAGATAAAAAAAATAAACATCAAAACTCTAGGTATAATTCTGATATGGACTTGAGTCCTCCCCGGAAATCTAAGCACCACTCACGTGAGTTACGGAAAACAAGACGTGATTCGGATTCAGATTTGAGCCCTCCAAGAAAATCTAAACACCATTCACGGGAGTCCAGCAAGTCTCACAATGGCCGCAAGCGTTCAAGATGGGCTAGTAATTCAGACAGATCTCCAGACAGAAGTCCAGAGACTAATGGTCGACTAAAAAAGACTTTGGATGGTAAAACTGCTGGTTTACAAAATGCTGATGCACTACGAGAAGAAACAGAAGCTCACAGGCAAAGAGAAAAGGAAATGTTCAACAGTTTGAGTGCTGAAGTTAGTGGATTTGGACAAGCTGCAGTCATGAGGGATAGGAAAACTGGTAAACGACGTGATTTAGCAGCTGAAGAGCTAGAACGTCTTGAAAAAGAGAAGCGGCAGAAAGAAATTGATGACAAATATGCCAAGTGGGGCCGAGGACTCAAGCAAGTTGATGACCGAGCTGAGAAACTGAAGCAAGACTTGTATGAAATGAGCAAGCCGTTGGCTAGGTATGCTGATGATGCTGACCTTGATGCTCACCTGCGATCAATTCAGCATGAATTTGAAGACCCTCTTCGACAGTTTGCTAAAGACAAAAAACCCAAACCGATTTATCAAAATGCTTCTATGCCTAATCGGTTTGGTATTAAACCAGGACATCGTTGGGATGGCGTTGATAGGAGTAATGGGTATGAAAAAAAATGGTTCGAAGCGAAGAATGCTCGCGCTGCTATTCAAGAAGAAGCTTACAAGTGGAGTACTTCGGATATGTAAAAATTTTTTTCGGTTTTATGGATTGATATTTTTTTTTAATATTTAGTTGTAAATATTTTTTATGCATAAATAAAATAAAAAAAAAAATGTTAATTGTTTTAAAGTAAAAAATTTTTTAAATGCATGTGACAAAAACGGAATTACATTAAATTATGACTTTAAAGTTAGAAGTCGAGTTAGGACTTGACAATTTAAAAATTTTTTGTAATAACTAAATTTACTCCGAAAAATAATTTTTAAAAAAATGGATTTTTTATTTTTTTAATTTTCTAAATGTCAATTTTTTTGACATTATTTATTTGTTAAAAAAATTCTTAAAATTATAAAATGTCTGCTAAATTAATTTTTATCATTAAATTTAGCAGTCACTTAATTATTTTTTAGTTTTTTTTAGATAAGTTTGTGCCGAAAAATTATTTCAAAAAAATTGCATTTTTCATTTTTTTAAATTTCTACATGTCAATTTTTTATTATAATTTTTTTTACCCCAATTTATTTGTCAAAAAAATGATTAAATATCTGCTAAATTAATATTAATTTTTATAAAAATGGAAAATTGTTTAGCGCAGCAATACATTTCCCGAAATTGATTTTTTTTGTTAATAAAGCATTATGTGACAGAGCTGGCAGAGTAAAAAACGATATTACATAAGAGCGCATGCGTGTTGAAAAGATTCAGAATTGATAGGTCAACTTCTATTTAGTTCTTCAGTTTACTTCAGTTCTCTGGTGGCCAGTTTGAGAAGGACTGCCATACCAGAGATAATATATTTACAATAAAAATATATAAGCGCGTGCGCTTTAACTTTTAATTTGTATTAAATAAATTGTGTCGTCTTTCAAGACCCAAATTCTCCAACAATGTCTTACTGCACGAGAATTTTTCGGGCGCAGGTAGGCGATTATTCTTTTTAATTAAAACATTTTTATTTTTTATTCATGTCACATGATATATATTACATACTCTCTTTTATAATCATATCATAATTCATATAACTCCAATATTAATCTGTCTTAATTTTCTCAATGATACAGATTATCTTAGAGTAAATTCATTATTATATTCTTGACCTCAATATGTGTCAAAAATAAATGATTTTATTTAAAAATTAGGTCAATCGGTTTTTCATTTTTTAATTGTAATTTTATTCATTTTTTAATATATATTAATTTATAAATTTTATGTTTTAGATCCGTGAAAAATATTCAAACGTTTAAATGTCATTTGAAACATGTCACTTTTTTTTTCTATGTTGACTTATTTTTATTTTAACAGATGAATATTATTAAGAAGATATGTACTATTTTATCAGCGGTATCCTTGCAATAAAAATATGTTCATCTCGTAATAGAAAAATATTTTTAAAAGCTTACATAACTCAATGTTCTGCATATATATTGCAGAGTACCAATCTTTAGGATATAAGGTTATGCTCACTATGCAAAGTGCGCATGTAATGCATTACTCCTGTATTTTATACTTGTTACTGTCAATTTATATGTATCAATTTACATTGCCATTTATCCTATAGTTTTTTTCGCCTAACAACAATATTTTTTTCATTATAATTAAAACAAATATTTGAATTCTAAATACTTTCTCAAATTTACGCGTATATCTCAAGCAAATATTCAACTAATTACTCCATTTTATTAAACATATATAAACAACTAAGCGTATTTTTGTATAAACATCAAATAATATTGATAATAAGATAATAAATCATAAAGATAACATATTTTGTTTTTTAAGTGTCATGATAAAATATATTACACTTTAATTTCATTTTAGCAAGTATGAAAAAAAAAGTTATATTCAATTACTTTTTGTATCTGTTGACAATTATACAGTCAGTTAAATTTATTTTTATAAATAAAAATACGGCACATTTAATTTATTTATAAAATAATTGACTAATTATTTAAAGTTATTTTTATTATATATTATTTACTCACTATATTTTTTTTCTATTTATTTTTATGTTACTTGAAATGTCATTTATTATTTTTACTATTATTATTTTGATACCTCTTGCGCAATTATAATTTTTCATCTCAATGTTTTGATGCGCAAAATAAAAATGCTGACTATAAATTTTCGTGATGATAAATATAAAAAAAAAAATTGTTACTTTATTATGTTAATTTTTATAATACTGAAGTTAGCCGTCAGCTGTCAATTTTAAAATTTTTTTGACAAAGCAATTACAGTAAAAAAATGCTTCTCAAAATTTTCACTTGTAATTTTTATATGAAAATTAATTTAACATATCTTTAATAATTTTAAAAATTTTATAACTAGTAAATTATGGCAAAAAAAAAAATTGACATGTAGAAATTTAAAAAAATAAAAAATGCAATTTTTTAAAAATAAATTTTTCTGATAAATAAAATTAAAAAATTGTTAAGTGATTGCTAACTTTAGTGTCATCATTTTTATTAATTTTTACTAGTGGAACTTTTCAATTAATTAGTTTTATAATAATTTAATTGTTATAAAATTCTAAAAAAATTTTTAATATCTGTCAACCTCAGTGTCATTAATTTTTTGGCGACTCAGTTGAATCGATGCATTCATTAAAATTTATTATTTTACAGAAACTGTGTGGATTAACACCTGATATCCAGCAAAGATGTTTCAGTCTAAGTCCATTGAGTTTTGCTGCGGCAAGGGTAGCAATGTCAAAATTCGATCAAACAACCTACCTTCCGTACGACAAATTGAGCGAAAATTTGAAAGTCGTAAAGAAACGGTAATTATTCATTCAGTTTTTAGAAAAAAAAAAAAAAAAAAAAAAAAAAGGATGTTTAATAACATGAATTTCTTAATAATATAAAATACTGAAATTTGCAGGCATCTATCAATTTTTTTGAATTTTACAATAATTAAATTTCTATGAAAAAATTTGAATGAAAAAATTCAACATCTAGAAAATAAAAATAATTCCAAGTGCAAACTTTTAAAAACTATTATTTGTTTTGAATTAATTTTTTATAAAGATAAAAAAAAATTGTCAAATATCTGCTGATGTCAGTATCATAATATTAATGGTATTTATTTACATTATTTTTGTTTACAGTCTTGGTCGCCCATTGACTCTCTCAGAAAAAGTATTATATTCCCATTTGGATGAACCTGATAAGCAAGAAATAGTACGAGGAACCAGCTATCTTCGACTCCGACCAGATCGTGTTGCCATGCAAGATGCCACAGCTCAAATGGCTATGTTACAATTCATAAGTTCCGGTATGCTCCAATCACTCTCAATTCACTATTTAATTAAAAACTATCAAAAATTTAATGTCTATTAATTTTGCACAAAATTTATTTTAATTATAATAATCAGGTTGATCAGAGCACACAGGCAATGTTGACAATTAATTCACTTTATTGCTATGTTTCGTCGGACATTTCGACTTCTTCAGGCAATCTATAAAAATACATACATCAAATAAATAAACTATACTTCAATATAATATGTCAAATATACAAATTGTCAAATAAGTCATTAAATTCCATTGTTACAATTAAATTATAACAATGGAATTTAATGACTTATTTGACAATTTGTATATTCGACATACTATATTGGAGTATAATTTGTTTATTTGATGTATGTATTTTTGTAGATTGCCTAAAGAAGTCGGGATGGCCGACAAAAAGTAGCAATGAAGTGAATTAATTGTCAACATTGCGTTTGGGGTCTGATCAACCTGATTATTATAATTATGTATTCCTTTGGACCTGATTAAAAAAATTATTGATGAAATTTATTTTTTTATCTAGGATTACCAAAAGTAGCTGTTCCATCAACAATTCACTGTGACCACTTGATTGAAGCCCAAATAGGAGGAGTCAAAGATTTGAGCCGTGCTAAAGATATGAACAAAGAAGTATACACTTTCTTGCAAACCGCCGGAGCTAAATACGGAGTAGGCTTCTGGAATCCTGGATCAGGAATTATTCATCAAATTATCTTGGAGAACTATGCTTTCCCCGGTTTGCTGATGATTGGTACCGATTCTCACACGCCAAACGGAGGAGGTCTTGGTGGTCTTTGCATTGGTGTTGGTGGTGCTGATGCTGTTGATGTCATGGCAAACATCCCATGGGAACTCAAGTGTCCCAAGGTCATTGGAGTTAAATTGACCGGAGAACTTAAAGGCTGGACGAGCCCGAAAGATATCATTCTAAAAGTCGCGGGTATTCTTACGGTCAAAGGAGGTACTGGTGCTATCGTTGAATACTTTGGACCGGGAGTCGACAGTATCAGTTGTACGGGAATGGCAACAATCTGTAACATGGGTGCTGAAATTGGTGCCACTACATCTGTTTTCCCGTACAATTACCGCATGCAAGATTACTTGAAAGCAACAGACCGTGCTGACATTGCTGCCTCCGCTGACATGTTTAGAACTAGTCTGTTGACTGCTGATGCCAATGCTAAATACGATCAAGTTATTGAGCTGGACTTGTCTACTCTTGAGCCACATGTCAATGGGCCATTCACTCCAGATCTTGCTCACCCTATTTCCAAGCTAGGTAAATTATTTATTTAAAAGCAATAAAATTTACTAGCAACCTTGCAATCACTATGTGACTGCCGTGGCTTGTGAACTATAAATAAATAAAATTTAGCTTTATTAAATAATGACTTTTGTTAAATTGCACTGTAATTTTTTAACTATTGACGTTTTTAAAGATATAAGCTCATCCCGATGTTACACTCATCAAGAGCTTTCATTTAAATACCCACATGTATTTTGATAGATTTTTCATATATAAATATATATAATATATACAAATATATGAAAAATATATCAAAATGCATGTGGGTACTCAAATGAAAGCTCTTGATGGGTGTAACATCGGGGTGAGTTTATATCTTTAAAAATGTTAATAGTTCACAAGATATAGAGTAATTTCTTAATTATTGAAGTTTTTCAAGATATAAGCTCATCCCGATGTTACACTCATCAAGAGCTTTCATTTGAGTACCCACATGCATTTTGATATATTTTTCATATATTTATACATATAATATATATAAATATATGAAAAATTGATGTGGGTACTCAAATGAAAGGTCTCGATGAGTGTAACATTAGGATGAGCTTATATCTTTAAAAATGTCAATAGTTCACAAGATACAAGGTCATTTCTTAACTATTGACGTTTTTAAAGATATAAGCTCATCCCGAAATTACATTCATCAATACCATTGATGTGGGTACTCAAATGAAAGGTCTCGATGAGTGTAACATTAGGATGAGCTTATATCTTTAAAAATGTCAATAGTTCACAAGATACAAGGTCATTTCTTAACTATTGACGTTTTTAAAGATATAAGCTCATCCCGATGTTACACTCATCAAGAGCTTTCATTTGAATACCCACATGTATTTTGATAGATTTTTCATATATAAATATATATAATATATACAAATATATGAAAAATATATCAAAATGCATGTGGGTACTCAAATGAAAGCTCTTGATGAGTGTAACATCGGGGTGAGTTTATATCTTTAAAAATGTTAATAGTTCACAAGATATAGAGTAATTTCTTAATTATTGAAGTTTTTCAAGATATAAGCTCATCCCGATGTTACACTCATCGAGAGCTTTCATTTAAGTACCCACATGCATTTTGATATATTTTTCATATATTTATACATATAATATATATAAATATATGAAAAATTGATGTGGGTACTCAAATGAAAGGTCTCGATGAGTGTAACATCGGGATGAGCTTATATCTTTAAAAATCTCAATAGTTCACAAGATACAAGGTAATTTCTTAATTATATATCTAGAGATAGAGCATTTTCGAATGCAGCCTAAATGCTTATCATAAATTATCTATTGATGAGAATGATATGAAACCTTGAAAAGGCACAACCAAGACCTTTCTAATGATAACAAATTTAACCATAAAAACTCATTTTATCATATAAATACACTGACCACAAAATTTTGCTTATTCTCTTAATAATTTTTATTTTATATTTATTTTATTTTTATTTTATAATATCCTTAATAATATAGATAAGTATTGCTAATCATATTTTTATTATCATTAGGTGAAGTTGCCAAGAAAAATGGATGGCCTAATGAAGTCAAGGTTGGTTTGATTGGATCATGCACGAACAGCTCTTACGAAGACATGGGACGGTGCGCTAATATCGCTAAACAAGCCCTTAAGCACGGTATCAAGTCAAAATCAACATTCAATGTAACACCAGGATCAGAACAAATTCGAGCCACTATTGAGCGCGACGGTATTGTACGTATTTTATTTTTTAATTAATTTAATACTAAATTTGAATTATAAAGTAACAATAATGACTTTTTAGGCTCAAACACTTCGCGAATTTGGTGGTATTGTATTAGCTAATGCGTGTGGACCGTGCATTGGTCAATGGGACCGTCAAGATATCAAGAAAGGCGACAAAAACACAATTGTTACATCTTACAACCGTAACTTCACTGGTCGTAACGACGCCAACCCAGCAACTCATGCCTTCGTCACAAGTCCTGAGCTAGTAACAGCTCTTTCGATCGCTGGACGTCTTGATTTCAATCCTCTTACTGATAAACTCAAAGGCGCAGACGGAAAAGAATTCCTTTTGGACAACCCATTCGGTAATTTGATAAGATTTTATCAATAAATTTTTTTTATTTTCTAGATATTGTAATTTATATTTTTTTTAAGGTGATGAACTTCCTTCTCGTGGATTTGACCCTGGTATGGAGACTTACGACGCTCCACCAGCTGACGGCAGCAAAGTTAAAGTCAATGTTGATCCAAAATCACAGCGATTGCAATTATTAGAACCATTCGACAAATGGGACGGCAAAGATCTTACCGATCTGACTATTCTTATCAAAGTAAAAGGAAAGTGTACCACCGATCACATCTCTGCAGCTGGACCTTGGCTAAAATACCGTGGTCATCTTGACAATATCTCAAACAACATGTTCATCGGGTAATCTATTACATAAAAAATTTTATTTCTTACTTTGATTAAAATTTTAACTTTTTTTTTTTCTAGTTTTGATATTTATTTAATCTAATTTTCTTTAATTGAACAATTTTTTTAAATATTTTTTTTTTAGACATTAATTGAAGGAAATAATTTAGTTAATATGTTTGTTAATTTTAGTGCAGTCAACTCTGAAAATAATGAGGTAAACAAAATCAAAAATCAACTGACTGGTGAATGGGGAGGTGTTCCTGACGTCGCTCGGCATTACAAAAAGAACGGTATAAGATGGGTAGCTGTTGGTGACGAAAACTACGGAGAGGGATCATCTCGGGAGCACGCTGCTCTTGAACCTCGTCACCTTGGTGGTCGTGCAATTATTGTTAAAAGCTTCGCCCGTATCCACGAAACCAATCTCAAAAAACAAGGTGTTTTGCCATTAACTTTCGCCAATGCAACTGATTACGATAAAATTCAACCAACTGACAAAATCAGTATTCTTGGTTTGAAAGACCTTGCACCAGGAAAAGTGAGTATTAGTTTAGCAAAGTGTGTATGGTAATCGGAAAAAATTTTAAAGTTATAAAAAATTCATATTATTTCATTAAAATTATTATTTATTTATTTATTTATATACTTAAACGCCAATCAGCTTTGTATACTTTGGTAATACAAAAATTTTATATTATAAAATATCACATCCACAATTTTCCTAAAAAATAAGCACCCCCAGAATAATCGCTCCATTTTTTGTTACAAAAAAAAAAAAAATCCGGGTCTATTTTTTCCGGGATTCAGTGTCTATATACATGTATCCCCACGAAAAAAATTTACAATTTTGGATATAGAAAATATCTAACAAAAATATTTATCCAATTATATATATTTTAAATATTTAGATTGGCTTAAGTGTATAAAATAAAATTTATCAACTAAAATACATAAAAAATTTGTAAATTAAATTTTATACTCTTACAATGAAATTCTTATAATATTTATTTTAGATAAATTTTTTATACATTCTGTTTATAAATTTTATTTTACATCCTCGGGCAGATCTGAATATATTAATTAAAATTTTTTTATATAATTGGATTTATATTTTCTTTATCGGAATTTATAAATTTTTTGAGTGGGGGTAACTATCAAATTATTATTTCAACACATTAATAATAATTATCTGTTGTTACAGCCTTTAAAAGCCGAAATCAAACATAAAGACGGCAAAGTAGATACGATTACGCTAAACCACACCTTGAATGAACAGCAAATCGGTTGGTTCAAAGCCGGATCAGCATTAAACCGTATGAAGGAAATCGCATCAGGACGTTAATGATTTAATACACACAACAATTATTCTCAATGTGCTCAAAACTGAATGCTAACATCTTTGCCAGGAATTATTAACGCAGATAACTATGCGTAGGCTGATCTAGCTGTAAAAAATTAATAATTATATACTGTTAAGAATGCAGTTTATTTACAATAGTCGATGATATTTATATATATGATTGATTTACACTACGATAGGCCAGAACGTAGTCAACAATTGGAAAATAATGAACAAAATTATGCAATTTTATTGTAAATCGCATAGTAATGATGCTTGATTTATAATATACATTCTAGATTATTATTAAAAACATATAAATAATTATGGATGTGATACTTAAAAATTTGAGGTAACCAATGATGAATCGTTTCATGTCAACGCAATTAATTCGACAATACTTACCTCAAATATTAATGACCATTATTATTTATATCGTGTTAATTTTACAAGTATTTTTTTTCTTCATATTTTTGGTATTTAATTTTAAAATAAAAAAAAAAAAAAACAGTTTCTTATTAAAGAAGTTTGTAAATATCGGTCAATTTTAACATCGCCCCGTTACCAATATTTACAAAGTTAGTTAATATTAAATTGTTTTTTTTTTCTCTGAATTTTAAATTGTATTAGAGCCGAACGCAGTCAGTATAATTATGTATATAAGAAACATACCAGTAACTCGTGTTTTTAAATTAAAAAAAAAAAAATCATCGTTATAATGATAGAGCTAAAAAAATCAATTTGTACATTATTTATCAGCAAACGACGAGGAGACTTTTATCGACTCGAGTAATTATGCTCTTGTACGATTCCTAATTTTAATAAAATTATGTTTGAAAATATTTGACTAATTTTTTTCATTCTTCACACCTGCTGCTCCTCTACATTTGTTACAGTGGTCGTTGCTATGCTACCGATATTTCAAAACAAATGTTTCCATTTTACGCACAAGTTGGTAGTTTGAATTAATTTTACAACCTTAATAACTTTTTAATTAATAATTTTTTAATTATAGAACATTTTTTATTTTTTATTAAGTACATAAATAATTAAATAAAAATGTCTGATGGAGAATTTTATGTATGTGCGACGGGATCGATTGAATATGGAGAGTTTTACGAGATTGATAACGCATATTGTAAATACGGTTATCACTTTGGACCGGAATGGAATATTGTTGGGGTAAGAAAAACAATTTTTTTTTTATTATTAACTTTTTTTTGTTTTTTTTTATCAACTTTTTTTTTATATATTTTTTAAATATATAACAGGGTATTGAAGAAGGTTTGACGCAAATGAGCAAGTGCAGTAATGATGCCAGACGTCTAACATCCTGGAATTTTCCTTTAGATGCAACTTTTAAATCTACAACACCTCACGGATGTAAGATCTTTATTTGATTAAATAATTGAGATAAAATGCTCAAGTTAAATTAGAATAATTTAGTCAAGTTTAAATGAATTCCCTTTGAAGCTCAAACGGAACTAATATTAGATTTTAATTAAATATTAAAGACCAACAAAACTGAGCTCATCAAAATTTTGCTTTTGCGTATTATTTATTTACAACATACAATAAAATTAATTTTTAATCTTTTTATTTCCGCTGCATAAAAATCGAGAATTAAATGTAATTTTTAATTTAATTTCGCTATTCAATTACCACAAGAGTAATTTTAATTAAAGTCTCAAAGTTTTATATATGCTATTTAACAAACGCTTGAATGTTACGTTAATTCGTCAAGTTTTTTTTTGCAAAACTTTATTTAAATACATTTAATAGCATTTAAACTCTTCTTAAACTTTATTTAATGTGTATATATTCTAGAAAATTAGTTTAAAAATTTATAAATTAAAGCGATCTACTAGTCAAGTGCTCTAGAATTTACTTAACTTTAATTAAAGTTTGGTAATTTTTTTTGCAAGGTATTAAATTGCAAAAGAAAAATTCTGAATTTTAGGGCCGCAATTAGTACTGTCGGTTTACGGCTTAGATTTTTTTGGTCATGATGTAGTGAGAGGATACGGAGTTTGTCATATACCTTTCTCATCAGGTCGCCAAGAATCAAAGTAAAGTAATTTATTTGTTAAGTACGGCTGTCCAATTTCAAAACACAGTAATTGACAATTTAAAGATTTTTTTAAATTTTTTTTATTAAAAAAAAAAAATTTGTGCGCCTCATTGATAAAAAATTTGATTTATGAATAGAAAATACTTGAAAATAAATATTTTTAAGAAAAATTACTTGAAATTAAGGTCTAAAAATTATAAAAATATTCAGCAATACTAAAAAAAATGAAGTATAAAAATTTTGCAGTTACTGTATTTTAAAATTGGGCAGCCGAGTAGTACTTGTTAGTTTATAATGATTACAATAAAAATGTATTATTTAGGATTCCAATATACGTACCGGAATCTTCCTCAACATTGCATCACTTCGCTGCATGGATAACTGGTAAACGTCCCGAATTAATTGAACCATCAATTCTAGCATCCGGTTCTGGCCGAGAACGTAATATTGAATTATTAATTATTGGATATTGGATATTAGAACTGCAAAGAACCGGACATAATTTTAAAATTATCAGATATGCTATCCATTCATTTAGTTCTGATAGCTTTTGTCCTCGGAGCTAACAATTGCAGTGAAATATTATTTCATCAATATTAAGACACCGAGTTGACTTATAATTGGAATTTAATTTCTTCAATATATTTATTTATATAAGTAATATATAATACGATTTTTAATTTGCAGTTCTAATAATTCTATTAATCGAAAATTTATTTTTTACTTTAAATTAAATTAAAATAAAAATTTTTTTTTTTAGTGACACGAATGAAAGTTCAAGGGTCGATAACTGCATCCTTCAACGTTGTGTTAAAGGATTTTTATAAATTAGGATATGACAATAATGATAAGGGTAAAAAAAGTTGTAAATAGTTCTTGAAAATATAATTTGATATAATACTCATTTTATTTTTTTTTTTACAAAGTAATTTACAATAAAAGTTATAGTTTTTAAGGATTAAATTCAAATAAAATTTATTTTTTCCAAAATTCAATTTTTTTTTAAGTCCATAACATATAATGGTATTGCTCTCTTCTCAATTGTGGTAATCGGAAAAAATAGACCTGGAAAATTTTTAAAGTTATGAAAAATTTATATTTCATTAAAATTATTCACAATTTTCTGAAAAACAAGCACCCCTATTTTTTATTTTTTTTTTATAAAAAAAAAAATAAAAAAAAATTTCATTATTTTTATTATTATTATAATTTTTATTTTACAATAATTTTAATAGAATAATATAAATTTTTCATAAGTTTAAAATTTTTTCCGGGATTCACTCAATTTATCTATTCCTTATCAAATTTACAAACACTACTCGTGTACTATCGCTCTATAAGTAATTTGCATTTATTATTGCGAAATACTTTCTAGAAGTAGGTAAAAAAAAATAGAGAACATTTTTTTTTTTCAATAAGGTAATTGATCACTAAAATATAATTTGATATAATGCTCATTTTATTTTATTTTTTACAAAGTAATTTACAATAAAAGTTTTGATATTTAAGAATTAAGTTTAAAGGAAAAAAATAAAATTTTATTTTTGAAATACTATTTATAGTTACTCCGATGATTTAGATATTAAATTTATGAAAAGAGTTTAAATGCAAATGAGTAAATTAATAGACTTTAGGTTCGTTGAATTCGTAAATAATCTAATAGAATAACATTTTCATAAATTAAAGCATCGAATTGTAGAACAGAGAAAATTTTTACTAATTAGCAAACAGAGGCGTTAAAAAATACGATAACGCAATGAAGTTTTTAATTAATTTTTAATTTAATTTTTCAACTCACGTGTTTTATTATTCAAGTATTTTATATATTTATCCAATTAAAATAGTGAAATATAAATATTTGATGAAGAGAACTTTTAATTTTTAAAGTAAATGCAAATAATTTTTATTTTATTTAATTACTGTTAATCCTAACTATTAATTAAATAAAAAATTAAAAGTAAATTCTTTGAAATTTTTTTACAAACACAGCCATAAATAAATTAGCTAATTGTGCTGTTAATTAAATACAGTTTGTATTCGATTTATTAACTTATTAGTTTAATTTTTGAAATTATGATATTTATACAATTTTAATATCAATATTTATTGTTTTAATTTAACTAAAAAGTTTATCGATTTTGTGACCATCCAGATGGTGTAAAGATAATACCGCAGTGAAGTATGAAAATGAATCTTGTATCTGAAACGAGAAAAATGTTGATTTATTTCACTGTTTTAAATAGCTTATATAATAACAGAGGGAAAAGAAAAACATGAAGAAAAGAGGAAAATTCTTCATGAAATCGGTTGTGTAATTTTTTTTATATTTCTCAGGACATAACGGTTCATCGAATATTTCATGCTTTCTACAATTTAATTATTTTATTCTGTGGTCGGAATAAAATATTGGGTTCTAGAATATTGACGTACGTTGAAATGAAATTTTTTTTCAAGCTTCAACAAACCAATTGTATAGTATTCTATAAAATTTTTGATAAAATCTTCAACGTAAGAGTTCATGGTATTTTACAGTAAAAGAAATAGAGGGAATTTTTATTTTAATTGAAGTTGAATAGCTTTGAATGAATTCTTATTAATTAGAATAACAAATAATTTAATCAAACTTTATGGAATTCAATTTAGCAAATAAACTTCTCCCTGAAACCTCTCGAAGTGATGTTATAAAAGTAATTTATAAACTATATTGTATTTCCAAAAAGTTATCGAACTGCTGATCAGCGCGTCAAGTTAAATAATTTCAATCTTTTCATAGAAACTTTATTTATAAAGTTTCACTTGTTATTATTGAGTAATTTTACTCTTTGCAAAGTTATTTCTAAATATAAATATATTTGCATCTTACTTATCTAGTTTAAAAAAAATATTGTACTGCGATTTCAATATCTTCAATGTTATATTTCATTCATAAATTTTATTTTATAAGCATTTTTTCTAAAAATTTATAATTTTTCAAAAGTACAATTAAATCTACGTTAAATTAATAGAATAATTAATTTCCTAAAATATGACATTAAGTTAGCAGTCATTTGAGCATTTTTTAATTAATTTAACAAAAAAATTTGCTTCAAAAAATTAATAAAAAAAATTAAATTTTTAATTTTCAAAAATTTCTTTATGTTAATTTTTTGACATAATTTATTTGTTTTAAAAATTATAAAATATCTGTTAAATTAATTTTCATTCCTAAAATTAAAGAAGACTATAATTTATATATAATCTTCTCTGTCCAATTTTTCAATCCACCGTAAAAAGAACTAATTAAAAAAATAATTTTTTTTTATTTCTTCCGAAATAAATATATTTGCATCTTATCTAATTGTAAAAAATTATTATACTGCAATTTTAATATCCTCCATGTTATATTTCATTCATAAATTTTATTTTTTAAGCATTTTTCTAAAAAATTTATAATTTTTCAAAAGTACAATTAAATCCATATTAAACTAATAGAATAATTAATTTCTTAAAATATGACATTAATATTAACAGTCACTTGACCATTTTTTAATTAATTTAACAAAAAATTTGTTCCAAAAAATTACTTTTTTAATTTTCAAAAATTTCTTCATGTCAATTTTTTGACATAATTTATTTGCTACAAAAATTTTTAAAATTATAAAATATCTGTTAAATTAATTTTCGTTCTTAAAATTTAAGAAGAATATAATTTATAATGTCTTCTCTGTCAAATTTCTCAATTTACCGTAAAAAGAACTAATTAAAAAAAAATTTTTTTATTTATTTGTTCCGAGTAAAACGTCAAGTGATCATTAAAGTTAACTATTGAAGTTTAATTTGATCAACAGTGTATTTGTTCTATTTCATCCAATTAAAACTTACTTTAATTATAATCATTAACAAGTTACTCGGTAGATTAATGAAATAAGTATGAGAAGAAATACTAATTATTTTTGTATAAAATTCAACTTACCATCAATTTTGTATCACTTCTACACTTTAGGAGCTTGTGCGTCTGGATACGTATCAAGAAATTCAAACACTACACCATTAGTCCATCCAAAACCAGCTTGGACTTCATATTCACCTCCTCCGCCGTATTTTCCAGGATCGATTGCGCTGTACTGAAAAATTAAACAAAATATTTTATTATTATTTATCATAAAAATTTTTATTCGAATAAAATAAAACTCAATGTCGCTAAAAAACTTTTTTATGATATGGAAAGCTATTTTTTATCGTGACCATTCAGTCGAATAAAGTACTTTTTAAATAGAAGTAAAATAAAATTAAATCTCTGTATAAAGCGTATAAAAGAAAAATCACAACAAATTCGATGTGATTTGTAACTTGAGGAAACTTTTTCTTCGAGTTAAGCCCATGTATGTAGACTATTTTCAAAGTCCTTTGTAAACTTTACGTAATGTTTAACGTCACAAGGATTTTCTTTAATGATCCACCGTGATACGGTAAAAGCTTTTATAAAACTTGCTTATATAAGATTACTTTAGCAACCTCAAAAGTTTGCTGTGTTATTATAGGTATTATATCTATGTAAATCATTAAATTTTAAGTGCTTCTAACCAGAAACAACAAATAAATTATTCAACTCTAATAAAATTAAGACCCGTATACATAACGCGCACTTAAGTTATTCAATTTTCTGGAAAAATTTTATCATTTATCGAAGTATTGAATATAAATATATCAATTTTAAAGATTAAAATGTGCTAATGGTTGGAACTTTTTTTCATCTACACGAGGGTTCTAACAGTATCGATCTCTTCTGAGATGGTTTGAGAGTATAAAAACATCTGTCAGCTTTCAGCACTCCATTTTCGAGAATGATCAAGTGGCAAAATTTTTTTACAAATTTTTTTCATTGTAAGATCGTTTTTTTTAAATGCAGTTTTTTTTTGCAACCACACGGAAAAAAGAAAATGGGAAAAATTACATTATATAATGTAACGTGGTGCTTCATATAAAAAACTGGAAAAATTACAGTTTCGGATTGTAATTATTACATATTTTGTAAAAATTAAGTCGTAAAATGTAAATATTATATTGAAAGCTCTGAAAATTAACATTTAAATTTTGTATTTATAAAAATGTTATTTCAAACTGCAATTTTTCTAGTTTTTGTTTATATAAAGCGATGATTTTTAATATTTATAAAGTAATTTTTACATTTTTCTTTTTTATGTGTATTGAAAAATTTTTATTTTTTTCAGTCCAATTTTTAAAAATCAAATTTCTGATGCTCGTCGATAAATCATAATTACATTTCATCTTTTGGGTCAAATCATAAATGTATATTTTAACGCTCTAAAAAATATGTCAGATCTTTTTAAAATATTTTTCGATTTATGTATAAATAGCAATCTTGCAGTCACTATGTGACTGTCGTGACTTGTGAACTATCAATAAATAAAATTTTGCTTTATTAAATAATGAATTTTGTTAAATTGCACTGTACTTTTTTTACTATTGACGTTTTTAAAAATATAAGCTCATCTTGATGTAACACTCACTGAGAGCTTTCATTTGAGTACCCACATACATTTTTGATATATTTTTCATATATACATATATATATTATATATAAATATATGAAAAAT